TATGCTTCCAAAAACCAAAAACTAATTAACTATCCAAAAACTAATTAACTGTTTATAGATCTGTGATTAAATTGTTAATAAACACATAATTTCAATGGAAATTATAAATAGTTAAAAAGTTATAAAATCATATTTGTCTCACAAATGCTTTCAGAATGGTTGTAGCTATTTGTTTTGTGAATATATCAAGTACAAATAGGAAAAAACAATTTTTATTTCTTATTCAATCTACTGGCATTAAATCCTTTAAACATAATTATGTACAAACATAAACATTAAAGCCCAGGTTCAGTATAGTAAAGCAATTATAATTCCTAACGCTTGACTGTAATTAGGCAGATACAGAATATAAGCATTTAAGTCACAAATATTCATATTTAATATTTCATTATGTTCACACTAAATCAGATATGCCAGTCAGTGTAACAATACTTAATTCCTACAAAATATTTTAGATTATCCATAAAATATTTATAATATTGAGTTTACATCTAATTTTGAAGCCACACACATTTATAAATATCAGCATATTTAAAACTGATTTGCATATATCATCTCTACATGCGAAGATTAGTTGAAGCATACTTACATGGGAAGTACACCAACAGGCACGGTAGAGTTATGGTTAAAATTCTTGGTTTTAAGATTACAGTTCTTACTGAGAAAAAAGTTCTAATTTGTAGCAGACGAAGACTTTACATGCATTGTCACACAATTTCACAGTTGAAAACCAAGACTATGCCTTCTAAAACTAGAATTTATACTTATACATGTCCTTCTCCTTCATCAAACACCAAACAATAATCTTGAAAAACACTTTTGTAATCAACCATGATGTGATGATTTTTATGACAAAATCATCACATTTTTATGACACAATCATCATTTGAAGTCCGCATTCAAGCGACCGATCCTCATAGCACAAGCTTCTTTTTTATATAGTTACACTTCTGCAGCAGCAGAAGGTTTTCCAATATTCAAAGTTTTGAAGCTAATCTTGAAAGCATATGAACATTACACTAATTTTTGTTGCCTTAGCACCTCCAATAATCATTATCTGTATATTATATTAACTTGGATAAAAATTTAATTCAAAAAAGTAAAAATTGCATTTATAGTAGAGTATAACTTTCCAGAATTGGAAAAATGGTAAGCACATTTCAACAGGAGTGATTAAGAAGTAACAGGAGTGATGATGGTTTATTAAGGCAAGTTAGTTTAATATACCATCATCATTGCTGCTTTGATCATTATAACTAATGTTTACTGCTGAGATTTTGAAGTGAGAGATGCAGGACTAGGATTTATGACACACTGGATCATCATTTATCTTTCACTATGTTTGCAGTTTTTCTGACTAATATCAAAAATTGAAACTTTCATCAGCTGTGGCTGATGTGAAAGGCTTGAAATATGACAGTGTGTTTGATTGCTCCAACCAATATATTTTTTCTATTTTACAGTTTTCTATAGGTAATCAAAACATATAGCAAATGGTATGAAACATGTATGCTATTTTGCAATTTAGTCATATATGAATCATTGAATAAATAAACACCTAATAATATTTTTGACACATTTTGCAAATATGAAAGCTTTGATTCATTTTATAAAAAAGTACTATTGCACACGTACTAATGCGCATCTCTTGTTAAAGTGGAGAAGCATAATGTATACTTATACAGATAAAACTATTGATAATGCTTATAGCCACAAATAGTTTTGCATATGTATTTATTAAGTATTTGGAAAATATATATTTGAATTTTAAAACATAATTAGAAAACATTTTCATGATACTTCTAGTAATTTAAAACTGTACTATATAAAATAATTACATACTATTCATGGATGTTGGAAGCAATTGGCCATTCTCCAGTGCTTCATATTTCTTTTTCAGCTCTAAATGTTTCTGGTGATTCAATAAAGCATTCAAAATAGTTGGAACCAAAATATTATCTCGCAGCTGGGGGAAAAAGAAAAAATATTGCTATTGATTAATTGATGCTTATAAAAAAACTCATTCTGCACTCAAAAACTAAAATTCTACATATAACTTCATTTACCATAGAATAGATACCATAGAAAGATAAAAAGCAAAAAATTAAAATTAAAAAAGAAAATGTATATTAGTTTCAGTCTAAAAGCTTATATATATCATTACGGTTAAGCATATTTCCGTGCTTAACCTTAATTGTTTGACTGCTACGCTGCGCAAAAGCGCTGCATCCATTTGCCTCGAAAACCACGACGCAGTTAGTTATTTTAGAATGCACTTATGTTACAAAGTATGCAAGAGGTCAGACTACGTACGTTCACACCCACAGAGCAACAAAGACACACTGAAACTTGCAGCGCATTCGAGACAAATGAACACAGTGCTTTTTCGATGCGTAGCAGTCAAATGGTTAATGAGTTGTCTGAAACCACTGATGCTGAAATGGCATCTCACAAGACAGATCTGACCAGCCATATTTTGGCCCTAATATTATTCTTATTTTATTCATTGTACTACTGAAGTAACAATTTTTTTTTTTTTTTTTTTTTGTGTGTGTGTGTGTTGGAATTTTGGTTCAAACTTACGGCTTACTCCTGCAAGACCTATCATTGAGCTTTCTTAACTGCTGTCAGGAAATTTTGATGAGTTACATTTCATAGATACATGTAAGTATTATGACAAATTACAAATGGAAGTATAATCACAGACCTCTAAATAATGTTACCATTCCTTCAATAGCGAAAGTGAATTAAGAGGAAAATCAATTGCGTAAATTGACTTACAGGAAAAATAAATAGTCTACTTTTATATTTTACATTAGTTGATTTTAGATTTTGATTTTTAAGTATTAAGTTAGGAACAATTGAGACAGAAAAGAAAATTCATAATAAATTATCAATTTCTATTATAGCTATTCTCAATTTTTGTCTTTCTGATGCACCTGCAACTATATTTAAATAGAACAAAGAGCAAAATAGAAAACAAAAAATTTTTCTAAAAAAATTCCTTATTTTAAACTTTAATGGATGCAAGAAAACTTACAAGGTAGCCTGGGTAGGCAAATGTACAGAACAAAATAAACAAAGAAGTGCTATTAATCAACTTGTACATGATTTTAAAAGAGTAAGCCCTATTAAATCGAAGAATAAAAACTTTGTAAAAAAGAAAGATAAAAATAAAAATAATGGCTCAAAATGGATCCTGCTAAGACCAAAGGCAAAGAAAAATAGTAGAAAAAGACTAACATACCTGCATCTAAAGCAATTGCCTTTTCAAATTAACCTTCCAGCATGCACACTATGCACAAAGTTTATGACAAATTCGGTTTTTAATGCACACTTTTTGTATATCGCAGCTGAGACGTCTGAATGTCATTTCTATTCCTCCGTTCAACCCTTCCTCACATCATGGAATGTGCCAACAGGAAGTCATATGACATTTTTTGTTTTTTTTTTTACTGAGCTTTTGCGCTACGTGGCAGCTTCTTCATAAAAGTTATGACACGCGCGTGGTCATGGGTGAAAATTCGAAAAATATTTTTTTTCAAATATTTTGTAATTTTGTGTTATTAATAGACATGTATTATTTTAGTTTGTATAAATTCGACTCTATAATTTTTATATCAGTTTTCATGGTAAAAAAATATGTGCATGTGTTTTTGCTTGCATTCTTCAAGAATTATCTGATGAAGAAAAAGAATACAAGGAAACTTTTGGATGTGAGAATAATAGTGATCTGAGTGAGGAAATATATAAAGATAAATAATATCAGCAGTGAATCTGAACAATATATTTCAGATGATTATAGCAATAATGATATAGAAAAAAGGAATGATGATGATATGTTCTATGTTAATAAGGATAAATCTTTTAAGTGGCAAAAACAGAAGTATGCAAAATGCTCAAAGACGAATAAGATGAATATTATGAGCGTTACCTGGCCTAAACCCATGCAAGGGTAAAATGATGAATAGGAACATTTTTAAAGTGATATAAATACGTGATGAATTTGGAATATACATTATCTATATATAAGTTTATAAAGGCCAATATAAGAGATAAAACTCACTGTAACCTGAGAGGAAATATGGTCTACTGAATTGTTATATGTGATAGGAATAAAAAAAAACGGACATGTAATGCAAAGAATGTTTCATGTGAGGCACTGGAATAGAAATAACAAGAGCTGTGATACAATCTGATAAACATTTTTTTTGACAAGTTTTCTTCGATCAATGATAAATTAACAGGACAGGACAAATGAATATAAAAAGCTTGGATTTAAAATATAGTTACTAATAATAATTTTTTAATTTCTATAATGAAATACATCATTTTTCCCCTGACTATTTGAAGTTAAAATAATTTACTATCATTTGAATGTGATATCATTTGTATTTTGCAATAATTAAGGTTAATATTTTATGTTTTAACACATTTATTATCAATATTCACTCATTTCTGACATTTTTCTTGCCCAAAACGGTAAACTAACATATATTGTAAAAAATATGATGTGCACGTGCTCATGTGAAATAGCCAAGCACACGTGCTGGAAGGTTAAAATGAGCAAATATCAGGGAAAAAGGTTACCGGAATTAGATGAACTCCAAATAAATGCTTCCAGAATAGAAAAGTAGTCAAATTTCACCAATTAGGTGAGACGACGAAGGGGAAAACAAACGTATTAAAGCAGGAGCCAGTGGTACTAAACGGTCAGTGGAAGGAAAAAACACAGGGTCCAAAAGGGGGGGGGGTTTCGAAAGGTGGGAGACGGAAGCAACTCTTACAAAATGGCGTCTTGTTCAAAACTAAGTCATCTTAAAAAGTGAAGACGATAACAATTGGTGAAAATCAAAGAAAGTGTTTATCTGGCCAAAAGCAAGTTGAAATTGGAAAAAATCAGCAATTTGTTAATAAAAGTCATAATTCTTCGTGCTAGAGGGCTGACAAACGAGAAAGTAAATTGGCCCTTAAAATTAATGAAAGGATAGGGTTGACCAGAAAATGGTGATATTAAATAATAAATTTAATAAATTAACTGAAGTTCTGTGCCAATTCAAGAGAGAAAAATTGAGACAGTATTAAGAAACTATGTTACATTTTTATATTAGATCACTTGATTTACCCATCTATAATCTACCTTCCTTTAGGATTTGGGTAAAAATTTCATATCTCCAAACCAATCTAAAATAAAAGGTAAATGCCAGTTTTTTTTTAAGAAATTTTTAATGAAGTAGAGTATTTCTTCTTGGAAAAGATCTGTGCTATTACAGATTCTTTTAACTCTACAAAGTTGTGAATTAATAGTACAGTCAAAAGTCGTTAATCCGGACTCATCGGGACTTCTGCGATTCCGGATTATCGATTTTTAGATTTAAATCATCAGTTTAAATCTGGTTCGATGGCATGCAGAAATTATAAAATTAAAAATATGAAACCATAATTTATGAAATAAAGAACAATTATGAGCTAAGGGTATCAAAATTCAAAAAAAAAAAAAAAAAAAGCTTAATATTTATTTGTTTACTTTATTAACATTTCTTTCAACGTGCGCATCCGTAAAGCATAATACGCATAGTCAAAATTAGAAATTGCAACCGGAAAACTATTGAATGTGTATTTGTGATATTTAAGGATAGGAATTTATTTATCCATCAGATGGAGTACATCGAGATAAATACTACATTTAGTAAGGAATTAAAACCGATAAAATAAAAACATCTGCCCTGGATATAAGGATATGCGACAGAACAATTCCAGTTCATTGCGCGCCGCGACGTTCCCCCCCACCCCCGCAGAGCTCGTAAATTGATAACCAGATTTCGGAATGGTTTAGAGAAACAAAGGATATGCCTTTTCCATTTTTTGAGCCAATCTCTTTTTGTTATGGATATCAATATATACTTCGCTTTGTATCCTTGGGACTCCAGCATCGGAAATTCTATTTGAAGTAATCGAAAGTTCAAGCTTACTTTTATAAAACTGCTCTAACAGTCTGCAAAATAAAGCCGGGTCAATTCGAAGATTAAGGAACAACGCAATCTGCAACTTAACTGAAATATAATTAGATCTTTAGCTACCGTCCATTATACATTAAAGTGCATGCGTAAACGTATTATGTGCTGCGCAGCCACGATAAGCAGCGTAAAGATCTTACGCGCATTCGTCAAGCGACGTATGCGCAAAATTTTGTAGGCTTTGAGGTCGGATTTGGGATTCGAATGAACACTTGACTTTATAATGGCATTTAAATGTTTAGTTTCATGTGAGTTTGAGTGTATGAAAATTGAAATCTCTGCGTTTGTCAAATATTTTAATAAGATTATAATGTATAATTTGAAGATCTAGGTAAACTAAATCATCTTGTATTGCATTAGTGGTATAAAGCTTGAGGCAAGTTAGATAAATAAGTTTGTTGATATTGTTAAAGGCAATAATATCATCCATATATCGAAAGATATATTGGTAATACTTATGTTCTTCATCATTAAGTGAACGTATAAATTTAAATTCTTGAGTGAAAAAGGAAGAGACCACAGATTGCAGTCGAGCAATTTTCCCCCACAGGAATTCCTTGTACTTGTTTAAAGATGTTATCAAATTGGAGATAATTGTTAAATACAATACTGTTGAGGGAAAGTTTCCATTCTTCTGGAGTAACGATAGTAAGGATCTGTGGAAAGAAATTAGGGAGAGTAAGTACGCTACTATGAATTTCTTATAAAGGTAAAGCGGTATAAAGGTTTTCAAAGTCGTAACATTGAATGTGTTCTATTTTAAGCACATCTGATGTCTCAAGAACTTTTTCGTTGTTATTAATCATCCAACTGCAGCATTGATCATGAAAATCAAAATTATTAACAATATCCAGAATTTGTTTAAGTTTCTGTGCAAAGAGATAATCAATTTCTTTTAAAAAACTTTTAGTACTATTAGCAATGTATCTAAATTTGACAGGAGTTTTTT